TCCAGTTTTTTAAATATGTAGAATTATATGTATTTATGTTTATTGTGACGATGAAAAATGAAAAGATAGAGATTCAGAACAGATTGGAAAAAATAATCTTTTAATTATATATTTTTTGTCAGTTTCAAAAATTTGACAGTACCACCATTGGTCGTTGTTTCAGATTATTTACCAACTGTCATTCAACGTCTCATTTTACTATTTTTTTTTGTAATATAATTTTTTGCTCTAGTAATTAAAATTTAGCATGATTATATTTTTCTCACTATAACTTATTATTTGACCAAATAAACTACATGGATTCTGAACAAAAATGTTTTTTATGAGTAGATTTTTTTTCCAGAAGTGGCAGGAATAGATGTAAAATTTATAACTGAAAACGCTTTATATTACGTGTCATCAGACTGGGGTGTTCCATTCAGTGAGTCTCGGTCAAAGCCGTGGGGGTCAAACCCACCACGAGGGGGGGGGGGCACTAGGGAGTTTATGAAGTAAAGACATTCAAACGAACAGCCAGTTAATAGTTACTCAATCAATTCTTATTTATTACGTATAGAAATCCTAAAAACGATATTCAAGTCATTTTTACCTTTATAAAACGATTTCTTGATATAGTTACAGAAAATTTATTATCAACACATCACAAAGTTGAAGACACCTCCAGCCTTATTTCTTTTCTAGTAGAACCATAAAAAGACCTGCAATAGTCTCTTATTTTAGAGATCTTGCATAAGTTTTAAACAATTCGATGCCATGCTTTTTGAGAAAAGTGATATCGCAAACAATTTGCACCTCAGTTCTCTGGTATAACTATGGGTTGAAACTTTTTTCATTGAAGTGGCAATAGATTACAATAGATTGTTGACTTTATTGATTCCTTACAACACCAGATTGGTTGGTCTTTCCGTTATTTCACCTGAAAATGGTTGTAAAATGATTGATGGATTAAAAATCATCAATTTAAAGAAGTAGTTTCTGCGACACAGTAGCCCGTCACAAAAAACCCCCACCACCTGGTAAGAGTTTCTGGTCGAAGCCACATTACTACCGCTCACTTACTAGGAAGTGGGAGGACTACTCCTCTCCCTCTACCGCATATGATTACGTAAATCCTGAATAAAAGCGGTGATACGGCGGGTGGAAAAGACATGCGAAATCTTGGAGTAGCAGAGAGAGAGGGAGAGCGATGTGTTGTAAGATTATAGGTATCCTATTACATTCTAAGTATGTTATTTTGACAGAGCCAAAGTGTTGCATGTTAGTGTACGAGAGATGATATGATGGGTCGAGAGAGTATAGAAAGTAACCATGTCTAACATACTAAGAAAAAAAGAGAGACAGAGAGTATGATAATTAACCTACTAGAAAAATAGGGAGAGCAAATGCCTTTCATAATTAAATAATTAAGGGATGAACCATTATTTAAAAAAAGATTTGCTAAAGGTTAATAATATTGTTTGCTAAGTGTGGGTGGGATGTAAATGTATGAATTTTGATGGTAGGAATCTTCTTTTGCTTATAAAAAGTGAATAAAAGAAAAAAAAAAAAAAAAAAAAAAAGAAAAAAAGAAAAAAAACTTAACAATTCTGTAAATAATTTAAAAAGTTTAACTATAATGATGTAAAAAATGAACAATATTTTGGTTGGTTGATCAGGACTATTTATTATTGCAAAGTATTATATTTGTCCGATGTTTCGAAAATTCAGTATTGCTATCGTCGAAGACTTCTAAAAAAATAAAACAAATGGTAAAGTCCCGTCATTGCATATAGAGCCCTTCGTGCCCAAACAATATATTTAAAACTAGCAGCCCCCCCCCCCGGCTTCGCCCGAGACTCACTAAATACAACACGTGTTGTGCTGACATGTAATGTGAAATGTTTTCACTTACAAATGTAACATCTATTCCTGACACTTCTCAAAACAAAAATCTTCTTCTTAAAAACATATCTGTTCCGAATCCATACAGTTTATTTTCTCAAATAATAAGCTGTAAAAAGTAAAAAAAATCAAATTAAGCTGATAAGTACCGTGCGTTTCTTATGCCATAAAATAATCGTTGGCCCTCTAGGGCCGTTGATTTATAGTTTCTTCCGTATAATATACGGAAAAGGGTTATTTTTTGAAGCTGTACAGATTTAAAACTCACAAAAATGTGTAATTAAAATTTTTTGTCTCGTCTCACAACTTTGTTACCAAAGCAACAAAGTCCTGGAGCATAATCTTTACGTTTTTTATCGCCACAAAAATACAAATACATATTCTACCTATTTAAAAATCTGGAAGATTTAAGAGATTACTCTGAGGGTTATAATAAAAAGCCTATTTCTCACTTCATAAATTCTTTATTTGTCGGTTTTGATACTGCTGCTTTAATCTCGATGAATGTTCTGCGTCTGTTTCTTGATGCCTAAAATTATATACATTAGATGAATTTGAAGTTTTCCTTCCAATTCTCCCTCTTCCAACTTTTGGTATGGTTAAGACTTTTGTGAGCCCTAAATACTGTTTTTTGTCTACTTTGTTAAGTTCTAATATATTTGTTGGCCAGATAGTTCAATGAACTATGGCCGATTGGTATGCTTGTTAAGTAAACTCTGTCTTGACTAAAGTTTTCAGCAAACGTGACTGCCTCTATACCTCAGGGTAACTTTCTCTGAAGATGGTTATTGTCAATGTTATTGTAGCACCAAACTGTCGTCTAATAAAGTGTCGTTGATCACTGGGATTCCTTCCTTGCGACGAAATACTCCGCTTGTGACGTCTGCTAGTGAATGACTGACTTAGTTTAAGGACATTCATCACAGTTAGAAGGGAAATGTAGAAAGTGCAGTCAGAGGGGAGCGAGCAAACGGCAGCGCCTGCAACTGTTTTAAATGTATTTGTATACCTATATATAGGTGTCTTACAATGTTTTTTTTATTTAATTGCAAAAGTAACTTGCCGATATCTCTGAAAATTGAGAATAATATCTATATTATGAGACTGCGTCACGGAAAAAAAAAATTGGAATAATTCTACGCACCGTTTTCTTATAAATTCCATTTTTACGTGACTTCTCCATTAAGTTACGTGTTAAATTAAAGTTTTTTTTGACATTTAATATTTGAAAAACGGTGTTGTGAAACGATCCCAAATTTTACATGTGACTTTCGCACATCATTACGAGCATTCTGTTGAAATTTCAGGACAATCCTACAAAAAACGCTATGTGTGATGAACGTCCTTAATAGTGGCCGGCTTTATATGGTCTTTTATTCAACGACTTGTTGCCGAAAATGGTGATAAAAATGTATTTTTTGGCAGGATAGTTTAACCTCAGGTGGCCCTAAAAAGAACCCATGAGATTTATGGTTACGTAAGGAACATTAATACGTATAATGGCCCTGAAAAAGGCCAGTGGTAAAATTTCCAACTGTTCCTTATTATTATTCTTGATAAAAGAAAGCTGGTTGTGGATAGCTTGGCTCTTATTCTTGGAGTTTCTGTGTATGGAGACCATGCTGGAGGGAGGTACGCCGCTGACCATAGAATATCTCATCTTTAAGTCGTTCTCTGGATTACCAACCGCTCATCGTTAGTCTGGAAAGTAGGCCTGAAGAATACCTTCTGTGTGGGTATGCCGTTGAGACGAAAACACTGAGGAGACTGCCGTTTTGGCTGCCTGAACTCCTTAGTGTTGTTTTACCTGGATTACTGAGGTAGCAAAATCTGCTTTAGTAACACCAGGTTGGTTGGAAGAATGGCCATGAAATCCCAAATTGCTAGAGTAGATCATGCTCTGACTAGGCCTTTTCCTGATATTTTGCCGAAGACGTTAGCCTTCAGAACGCCTTTCTATTTGTGGCACTCGTTAATCTTGATGGTTCGGAATGGAGTTCGATGAAAGTCGCTTGTCCCTTAGAGAACAGTGTTGTCGCTTGCTGGTGTACCCAGCTGCACGACTCCCAGCTGTATGCTTTATACACTGCCGATGATCAACTGTAATATTCGGTACTTTACTCGGGAATGTAGAAACCAGACTTACTTAATTCTATTGCAGGTACCTTCGATTTTACTTCTACGCCACCTAGCGAATTCCACTGAACTGAAGTGTAGAGCTAGCAGCGTATTTTTAGAAATCTTCAAGGTTAGTTATCGCTGTTGTCATTAACTTTTTTTAGGTAAAAACTGTACTAAACCATCCAGGAAGTGTCAAGAATTAGTATGCAAAATTTTAGCAAGATTGGTTGAGTAGTTTCTGCGGTTAGCGATTACAACGGTTTTAGTAGTATGCTTACATTAGTAAGATTTCAATAACATTTCTTGATGAACGTAAAGAAAAGAAAATATATTTAAGTGTGTATATGTATATATATATATATATATACATAATACTTCGTTAAAAAAAGGTTTAACTATTACGATTTTTTGCGGAATTATAATGACGTCTACTTACTGTGCTACAACGGGTAAACGGGTAACAGGTCCTATTGTGTTTTTTAGTGGCTTTATACAATTCATATTCGATTGTCTGAATGCTTGCACGATTATTTATATTTTTATTTACAACTAGGTATTTTCTGCCATGTGAGTTATACTTAAATTGAAATGTAATACGAACCCTGGTATCTGTTTAAAAATATGTATTATTATTCGTTCTTTCTTTTGGGGTACTCAGTACACCAATGTTTGAAAATAAGATTAGAAGAAGGTTGAGATAAAATGGGAAAAAAGTCAGTAATGTCGGCAGTAAAGGCAAATATTATCAACCACCCATTCAAGTAATCACCGTAGCTTATGCTGCTTAACTTCGTTGATCGACTAATCTGCAACTTTACCGCTATGTCATTCTGACTGTTTTCATGCTGTTGTAATTTCGTTTATCCCTTTATTCAGAAAATAGCGGATTGCCTAGTAATTTTTTCTTTCTTGTATACCTTTAGTAGTTTAAGAAAAACTATAATTAATTACTTAGTTGTCATTTATTAGTATCATCAATGATGTCTGAAACATTGCAGAAATTGTCTCCTACCTAGTGGAGCATGGCGCTGATATCATCAAGGCAAACTACAACGGTGGTACGTGCTTGATAAATTCTGTGCAAAGCGTGGAATTGTGCACCTTCTTGCTGGAGCATGGTGCCGATGTTAATGCTACTGATATACAGAACAAGACGGCCCTTCATTATTCTATACAAGAGCATCGCTTTGAAACTACGAAACTGTTGCTTAGCTATAACGCGGATCCACACCTCAAGTCTCGCTATCATGATGACGCACTGCAAACTGCCTGCCTCAAGGGTGCAGAGACGATCTTCGATTATCTTAGTAAGATAATGTCAACATTTTTTTTATTTTTTACGTTACTACTTCTACTTAATTAAATTGTAGGTTCGACTGTTTAATATGACAATAACATATTTTAAATTTGTTTTTAATTGTTTTTTAAGATTAACACGATACAAATATAACACTGTATTTCAGTGAATAACGTAAAATTCACACCTGAACGACAAGCAGACGCACACGAATTAATTGGATCCACATTTTTCGATGATCATAATGATACGCAGTTGTCATTTAAGTACTGGAAAAAAGCTCTTGAAATTCGTAGATTAAATTCAGTCCATGACGGTCAATCGTTGTTTAAAAGGCCAGTGTATCCTCAAAGAGACACTTTCCGTTACGCTACAGAATTTGCGACTCTGGATGAGCTTTCAAATATTATGCTCGATCTTGACTCGATAAGAATACAAAGTTTGTTGATTTGTGAAAGAGTTTTAGGACCTTCTCATAAGGACACACTGTTTAAATTGATGTATCGTGGTGCATCATATGCTGACGCATTACGGTATGTTTGTTTTCTGTGAATCCCTTTTTTTTAATAGAATATGTTGATTGATTTTTATTGTGTTTTTAGCTACCAGTATTGTATTGATTTGTGGAGGCGCGTACTAGAAATACGCGTGGAAAAAGACTCGGTATGATAATATAAAACTTAACTATAATTATTTTGATCAACAACAAAAAAATCATTAGCCTGTAGAAAATACATTTTTGTGCACAGATTTTGTTCACTGATACCTGTTTTACTGCTCAAGCTTTGGTCCGACTAATGGTAGATTTATGCGAAAAATCGCTGGATATCGAAATAAACCGCGATAAACAGGAACCGAGATTCTGCGACGTCGTAGCGATATTCAAACTACTAACCAACAATCTCACAGAGAGCAAAAAATTACTTAAAGTAAGTTAACTTAGTTAAAAAGTAAATAAAGCTGCAACTAGCAGCTGCATCGTTATAGTTTAAGTACCCTTAAGACAAAAAGGTATTCCTTACAGTAAGTGGTGTGCTGCGCTCTTAAGTTTTTATTAATCGAATATTATATTGGAATGGTAACTAAAAAAACAAAGTATTTCAAAAAAAATAAGTAACCTCTACACCGTGGTGCTAGTGTAGAACTTTTTTATTAACATTTGTCAGCGAAAGTGTATTTTGTAATGGAAATTAACACCATATTTGATTTTTAACAAACATTTGTATGATTTTTGATCTTTAATCGACAGAATACATTATGTTTGTATAATCATTATTTGCATGATATTATGAGTAAATTCATAAATTTGTATGTAATAACTTCAGCAGTTTTCATCGAACCATTGTAATCTCAAGTCTATTAATCTACAACTACGAAGAAAAAACTTCTACATTGGAATTACCATCAAAGGGTTATTTCTTTCAGTCATATTTTTTGTTATATATATTATGTAGTTTGTAACACCAAATTTAGTCACCAACCCTTCCCTCGCCCCTCTCAAAATTTTGAGTTTTCTTTTATTCCCCCCCCCCCCTCAAAGTAAAGTAGAAAACTCAAAATTTCTCCGTTGAATTAACAGAATAAAAAGTATCCTACGAAAATAAAGACCCTTTTCACCCCCCCCCCTTAGGCTCCCCTTACATTTTAAGTGGCCGCCTCTGACCCCCTTTCCGATACCTGCTATAATAGTTGTTAAAATCAAGTTATTAATGATAACTTATGACTACATGATAAAAATACCAAGCAATGCACATAAAAATTATCATTTAAATGTTCACTTTAGTAACATAATACATTAGTCTTAATTCTAAAAATTTATATTGCTGTTAATTTTTTTTACTATTTTTGTGAATAATGACATATTTTATACAAAAGTCAGTTTGTAAAAGATAGTCTTTGTGTAAAGAATATTCTGAAAAGTGTAATGTGAAAAAAAGTAAACTTTCTATTTGCTCGTCCGAAAAAGTAATTTCATCAGTATAAGAGTTGTCTGTGACTGTTTACTAAAAAAAGAGGTTTTCAATTTTTAAGTAAAAAAAATTTCTTTCCTTACTATATTTCTAGTGGATGACTTATTTCCCTTATTTTCAGAATTATTTTCTATACATATATTATAAAATTTCTTGCATCTTAAAAGCAATATATGAAGTTGACAGTAGGAAAATAAGGGTCTTTTATAATAAAATTCTAATTTACCAAAACCTTAGCCCTGTGATATATTAATTGTCATGGTAAGAGCTAGCACAAAGGAAATTGTTTCCTGTGTAATATAGACGTTAAAAATAAATTATTACCCTTATTTTATTTAATTCTTGATATGGAAATCTTATTGCCTAATTTTTTTCTACTTATTAGTTCTGCTTTAATAGTACATTTAAATAATTTAGTTTTTCTTTCACTTTGCTAAAATATTGCAGGACAAAATTCACATTTAACATCTGTTTCGTCAGTTTCGACAGTATCAGTTTTTGAAACTACAAATTTTTTTTCCTTTTTTTTACTCGAAATTTTAATGTTAAAATTATCTTGCAACTTTCTTCTTTTAGAATTATAATAATTTTTGTTCATGATATCCTTTAGTTTTTCCTTGATTCCGATATTTTGATGTTGTAATAATTCATAATGCCCGCTATCATTCTTACTAGAAATAAAGTGTTAAATTTAAATTACTTGAATCATTTCCAATATAACGGGTGAAATTATCAATTTTCATATTAAATTGTTACAAAAATGTCATAAATTTCAACAAAACATTAAATTCAACTTCTGTACCAAAAATTTTATTTCTAAGAAGTTGTTTCTTGTACTATCCTAAATTAAGAAAATCATTAGCATAGGATGTATTCTGGATCCATACTTGGTGTATCAAAGCTGACATGGATCAAGTATACGGATCAACTTATAGATATTTAGGTAATATCACCTTATCTTTCATAATAAATATAATGCTTTATACAGTATATTGTAATACGAAATATTTATATGCTGTATACGTTACTTTTTAGAGTATGAAGACATATGACTCATAATTTAAGACTAAAAAAAAAGTAGTATATATTAAATCACACAACTCTTGTTTTTCGATAGAGTATTAGGGGGTTAACGCGAAGCGCGTAGGAAGGGGAAATCCCACTAGTATATATATGTATATATAAATACATGTCTGTTTGCGTTGACCAAAATTAACTTCTGCGGACATTAGAAGGAAAAAATAGCATGGATTATAATTAGGACAAAATCGTACTTAAGTGAACAGTTTGCAAAACTTTTGAATATTATTAGTATGTATGTATATGTATATATATATATATACATATCTTCCTATAATATATTGTGTTTTTAGAGGGTCATTCGACACAACCTCCCTCTACCCCTCCTCAGCCCCCTTCTAAGAAAGGTAAAAATAAAAAAAAAAATGACGTAATTCTTATTAGATTGAATTTTTTGTGAAACCCCCTCAGCTCCCCGCGTAATTTTGATGAGCCCCCCTCAGCCTTCCTCTAACTAAGGTAAAATGTTTTCAGTTTTAAGTATGTATTTATTGGGTTGAATTTTCATTCAACCCCCCTCCACCCCCTCATAATTTTAACTCAATAAGCGGATAACCCAATAAAATGCCTTCTTTACAGTTTAAAAGAACTCCCTTCAGCCTTCCATCAGCAGTATTTCTAAATGAAGTAAAATGATATAAGTGATCATGTAATTTTTAGTTTAATTACTTTTTGCACCCCCACTTCTAGTTCTCCTTACACTTTTTAAGAAAATCTCTCAGCCCTTTAACTATTTCTAAACAGCCACTTTTTACACTTCTCAGCTCCACATTATTTTTTAGAACGAAGTTCTTTATGTCGCGTACTCGGGGGGCTGGAATTTTAAAACCGACAGATTTTTTGAAACGGAAGTGGTTTACCCGAAGTGTCTTCCTCTTAAGTTTCCCCCCTTACCCCGTCCCCCTCACCTACTGTTCTCTAGCACTTCCCCTCCTCCCACTATATATGTATATCTGCCAACCGTGCCGTGTTACTCTTCTGCACACCTTTGCCCACCACTCCCCCTCACACTCCCAAGCAATTAATTTTTAAACAAATTTTAATTTATTTTCTCACAATAATTTTTCTTTAACTTAGAAATTTTTTCTTTTACAATTCTTGAAAAAAAAAAAAAAAAAAAAAAAAAAAAAAATAAGGAAAAAAAAAAAAAATAAAAAAAAAAAAAAAAAATTTTAATTAAATTTTGCATACATACATAAATCTAGGTTACATTTGTTTATTATAATTTAGTTACCATATTTACAAACAAAAAAATTGCATTATGTAAAAATATCTAACAGGCTCGTAGCGCAGCCAACTGTAACAATAACACAAATAAAAACATTAAAAGAATGATCGAATCAACAGTAAGAGAATAAGTAATATTATACAATACATTATAACGTACTGTAATGCCATATTTTAAAAATTTAACATGAAAAACTTACAGTGGGATTAAATAATTAGTTAATAACTAGTAGAAGTAACTTCAAGATTATTACACTCCATGAATTTATAAATAAGAATTTTGCAATAATGCACTATATTATAAAGGGAGAAGAGCGTGAACANGCAGAGTTGTTCGTCGCAAGGCTGGGAACCCCGGTGACCGACGACCCTATATTACCCTCTCGACTTTAAGCATTCAACCAGGAACCACGGATCCTTGCCAAGGTCTGCGCTGGGATAACCTAACGGTTATGAAGAAAAAATAAAAAAAAACAAATGAAAAAATTATAAAGGAAATTAAAACAACAAACCAGGGGGTATTAATGGGTCATGGGACAAACGGTCAGAACGAAGTTCTTTAAACATGAGATGAGTATAGACACAATTTCTCAGGTAACAATGGGGTTGCCAGACAAGTAGGAAGAACGAAGCTCTATAAACGTTAGTACTGCATTCATGTAGTTCACTAAACAAAAACTTGAAAAACGAATAAAAAAAAATTTTTTTAAATAGTTTAGTAGTCACGATGGTTGAACTTCGTGAGAACGTCGTGCATAAATACCGGTGCCGTCCAAAGCCAGTTCGTGCCCTTAATAAGAAAAACAATAAACGTGCCTCGGACACAAACATACAACAATCATATGTTTATACTTTGTGTGCTAGTGACGTAAAGTATGTATCGTTAAATATAAATATAATTTAACGAAACTTTGACATTGTGACTCAATAATAGTTCTTGAAAATGCTAACTGTTACGAAAATTACTTTCTGTATGATAAGAAAAAGGTGACGATGATAAAGATCCTGTATTCAATGTTATTCCAGGAATAAAAACTTTATTTACAATTTTTTAACCTTTCATTGTTTCAGAATTAATGTTATACTTTAATAATTTTATTATTTTTAGTCTTGTACCATGACACGAACCCTTCTAACATACATAAATTTGTTATAAACATGACAAAAGCATTAATTTTTTAATTTATTTCGTCTGGTAGTAAAACTTCTCTAATGCAATTTGAAAAAATTTCATAGGAAAATGTATACAGTGGTAAATGACCCAATAACTTCGCAGGTACTAACTACTGCGCACTTGTCAGTATAAGAAAAATCAGATGCTACGACGATGACTACGACGAAAACGGCAACAACAATAGCAACAATAACAATAACAACAATAATAATAACAATAATAATAACAATAATTATAATGTAACATCGGTGTATCCACATTAATTTTTTTTTTCCTTGCTTCAAAACTTTCCGTGCCGATTTTAGAACACTAAACGCAGGGGCCAATGTGCATCTGAAAAGAGGTGAATCACCTACAAGATTGCTCGTGGCTAAGGTACTACGCCCATGCATGACTCACGTACATGCACACTGGCCCATGCTGACCGGAAAAGAAATCGAATGAAATACTTTTCAAAGCGTAAAATAATAAAATAACT